CACTAGTCCATAACTGCAATAAACAAGAAAGTTCATATGGTACAAGCTATATATGTTCATGAATGTCTTTTTTGTATTGGAATCTCAGGGCTTGAATATGTGAATATAGATATCGGTATCGTTTATCGGTATCGGTATCGGTTTTTAAAAAATATCGGAATATCGGTATATCGGATATCGGCCAGAATTCAATATCGTTGCATCTCTAGTTCCTAGTCTGTTCAAGAGTTCAGAAAGTCTCCTGAAAAAATCACTATGGGTGGGACTGCAATAAAATGTAAAATAATCTGTATGTTCTGATGTCTTTGGTATTTAAGTACAGGTTGGCTAAATAAAATAAAGCAGTTTTTGGTCTTGGAGAAATCTTTGGAGACTGAAGATTTCTCAAAGAGAATCCCAATCAAGACCAGCCAATCTTTTATTTATTGTATGACAATTTTGCAATGTAGTCTCCAACTCTTTTTATCTAAGTCTCTTGAGTACAAATGAGGTTGTTTGTTGTCCTTGTTTGTTGCAAGATCGATATTTGAGCAAGGCATTTTCCTTTGACTTTGTTGGAGTTGGATTTTAACTTCATATTTTGAAGACATGCTCTCCATGATTTAAGGTCAATGGGATTTAATATTTGATAGGGATGAGGGATGTCAGGAAGGAAGCCTTGGTGTGGTGAAAGAGATCTTGCCCTGGATGAAGAGTGTTGAGATTCAGGAACTTCTCCCTCTACTCTCTGGACTCTCTAGCCATCCAAGTCTTGCATGCCGGAAACTTCTCTATGACCTCCTCTTCTGGATATACAATTACTATCGGTGAGGGCTTACATGGCACCCTAGCTCTCTCTCCCCATGAATCATCTCTATATCATTCTGGCTTCAAGTTGAAAATGAACATGACAACTTCCATTTTTGCACTAGAGTTTGAGCTCAGTGATTTGTTCTGTTTTTTTTTGCGAATGACCAGAACCTCTGGAACAGTGTTTTTTCACTAGTAGAGTAATAAAATATGTTCCTATGATGAAAGGATTAAGAGATTTTCATAGAAAGAGACATTACTTGAGAAGATCTGGGAATTGCCAAGAACTGTAACGGCTCTTGAAATAAATGATTTGAGAAAATATTTAAAATCTGCATTGAACAGTTGCCTTTCTCCATATCATGGTTAAGAAAGGCTGATCTTTCCACAGGGTAAGAGAGACAGGAGATGAATGTGGGAAAGGAATAGTATTGAAAGTGAAGGAACTCCTCCTGGAGGCACTAGAGGACCCAGAGCCAGCACTGCAACAGGAGATCCTTAACTTTTGGTCCAGAGAGGAACATCTATCAGTGCCAACAGATGCCCGTACCCTAGATCTCCTGTCAAAGTTGTACTCCCCTGCAACGGAGAGTACCTTCCTCTCTCATGCCACTTATCTCCTTCTGGAGACGAGTTCTCGTAGCCCCGACTATCAAGGCCCCCTGTTTCGGGAACCCCTTTCTGAATGCATCTTCCAGGTTTGTCTTACCCTCATCCTCAATTTTGCTTTTTGCTGAATATTAAATGTTTTGTTTACTTCAGGCTCCTGCAAAAAATTTGCATTTAAATGGCTGTCTCCTGAACTAAGATGAATGGAAAGAAAGATGGGTAGTTTATGGGTATATTGAGGTGGATCTATTCACAAGGTGCCACACCCTAGTCGGAATGTTTGAGGTTTTTTTGCTGATTCTGTCATTCTGTCCATCTTGTTTAAAGAAAACTTTTGTTTCAGGTTTCTTGAACCTTTGTATGCTGACAGGTGTAGATAAGTAAACTGGAAAAATCAATATTTGCATTCATATGAGACTGCTATATGCCATATGCCAGAAGTCTGTCATATATGGATATTCATGTAGTCATCAATTTTTAGTGAGGAAATGTCAATAACCTTGCCAATTTCTTAAATACTTCTCATTATGGTAAGGGACTATGGGAAACCAAAAAATCAGCATCCAAGCTGAAATTAAACATGGGCTTCTGTGACAGCATCTTCATTAGTTCAAAACAACCGTGTCAGCATCGTTTTACTCATTGTGGTTGTCCAAAAGTCATGTGTTTATTGCATGTGTTGTAGCTAATCCCAAATCTTCATTTTGACATGGTCACATTTTCTGTACTACCATACACCCCAGAGAATCAGATGTACATGTAGGTGTGCTTAGTGAAATTCTGAGATTCTTTGTGAGAAGATGAGATAACAGATAGGGGATGCAGGATGCTCTGCCTCACAGCAAGGAATGATCAGCTCACTTGTCTTGCTTTTAAAGTTAATTTGGAATGGTCTTCTGCCATATATGATGCCAGGGCATGAACAACAAGGTTACCCTTGCAGGAGTATGGTGTTGATACATCATGGAGACAAAGGCATGCATCTCTCACACCTTTGTTTATTGGGAGTCAGGAACAGTATCATCAGATGGAAGACATCATTCCTGGCCAACCTAGGGTTCGAGCCACTCAGCAACCTCAGTTCCTTCAAACCATGACACAAGGTAATCAGATCTTTCCTTTTCCTTTCACTTCCCTCTTGTTTCCCAACTTTGTTGGAGTTTCTATCACACCTCTTAGTTTTGGACCCCTCTTAAACAAAAATAATTTTTCATGTGCCACCAAGCACTCGTTGTTCAAGTATTGCATGGAGGCAGATTCTAAATTATCGAAAACCTGCATTATTCTTGTGGGAATGTGCTAATGTGCCTGATATTGCTAAGAATTGGTTTTACATCAGGTCCCTTCCTTTCCCAAAATCTTTGCCACCTTCTCTAATCAAAGTAACGGGGTAGGGAGTGACCTCCAGTAACCTTTATTGTACAGATTTAAATCCACTATGTAAGTGCTGGCAGTTTGATTTTATCTGTTCAGCTTGTAAACACTCATTAGCTGAGTGGTGTAATTTTTCTAAAAATAAACTGTTGACAATGGAGCAATTATTTATATTATGAACTTAGTATCAGAACATTTTCCCATAAAGTTGTGATACAGCATTTGTACCATTTTTGGCCATGGAAAAGTACATTCTGTGGGACAACAGTTATCCCTTTTGTTTGATAAAGGTTACCAGGCACAGTATGAGTCTCAAATTCATTTAATTTTTCTTTAAGTTTGTTTTTTACCATTGGATTTTGTAAGATGTGTGCTATTGCCACAGTAGGAGAAGGTGCATTCAGTTGGGTGAGCCAGAGCACTGTGGTTCCAGAAGCAGCATATGAAAGGACACCTGAAACCATGCTGCTCTTTTCACTTCACTCAACACCATCCTCACAGGGAACCAAACGAAAGCTCAATTCCAGTTAGTTGATTCTCATGAGACTTAATATCTAATTGCCAGAGAGGCTTTCCATAAAGTTGTGGCATTTCATAGGGGCTGAAACAGAAGAAGAAGTCACAAGTGTTAAGAAGCGTTTTGTCAAGAACCTTGGAGAAGAAAAGGACGAGGACAGAGGA